TGTGTGCTTTGCAATCCATGGATGGTAGTCTGAGTGATGTCACGAGGACAGGTCGTGTGGACTCTTACTTTAGAATTTCTAGGAACATGTGGGTCTAGCAGCAGAGAGACATGTTGGAAGCGCCTTCCTCCCTGGATGTGGGAGAGCCTTGTCAAAACTTCTCTGCTGTTTATGGAAATGGGATCTAGTCCGGTGTTAACCCGAGTCAAAGAGAAAGTGGGATCATTCGAGGGCCCAACGTTGTTACACGCCTGTTGGAAAAGCTCAGTGAAGAACATATTGGGTATTGATGATGTTTTAAAACAGCCCATGAATTTGCAGAGGAGGTGTGTGTGTGGGGTAACCAAAGGTGGAGGGCAGAGGATTATGGGACAAAATTGAAGTCAGTTCTCCCCCATGTTGTGCTCTGTCTGTGGGTGAATGAACTGTTTCAAGTGTCTAGTTAGAAACTGTTATTGTAGGAGGCAACCTTCTTTTATTTTTGGTTTTCCAAGACATGGTTTCTCTGTAGCTTTGGAGCCTGTCTTGGAACTAGCTCTTGTAGACCAGGCTGGCCTCGAACTCACAGAGATTCATCTGCTTCTGTCTCCCAAGTGCTGGGATTAAAGGTGTGCACCACCACTGCCCGGCAGAATGCAACCTTCTGGAGAAGGATTTTAAAAGGTTGCTTGCTTTCCTTATGTTTTGACTGGGGCCAGGAATCCAGATTAGTTATTCATTATGAATTAGGATATCGGTGTCCGAGCATGGCAGTCACCTGCTCCATTTACGGTACATACATGACTGGACTCTTAACCAGTCAGAAAGTTCCACCCTGAAAAAGTATCCTTAGGAAATGAGTAGAAAGACATCGAGTGTGCCGACAAAGTGTGACCTCTGGGTCAAATCTAGTTTACCCCTTGTCTGTGTCTGGCACAGGACCTAAGGAGTTGTTTTCAATAACAATAAGAAAATCCAAAGGATGGCATTTTGTAAGCCATGGAAATGGTGTGAAGCTCAGTGTGGTTTATGGACACACTCCCCAATGACTGTCTGAGTCACAATGACTAAATTCTGCAGAACCCAAATTATTCACCATCTGCCTCTTCATGGGAAACACATGCTGACCTCCATAACACAAGCCAGGATGGATGATAGCGAAGGAAGCTGGAAGGGGGTGTTACAGTTTCTGCCCATTGTGACGGCTCTAGAAGCACAAAGTCCAACCACTATTCCCTTGAGTAAGGACAGAATTAGGTAAGGGGGGTTGAGACCACCAGAGCAATGACTGGGTTTCATTTGCTACTTGAGAAGCTGACTGAGTGCAGTCTTGAGGAGGTTGGCAAAAGACGGGATGCTCTTCAGAAGCCCAAGCATACATAATTTAGAAAGTTATAAGGCCCCACCATGGCTGCCTTTAGCTAGACACAAATAGACTCAGATCAGTGCTTATCAAATGATCTCAATATGCCAATTTCTTCTTCTGTTCCAGAGTATGCTGGTCACTGGGCATGAAGTGGGATAATTATATAATCTTATGTAGAAGTTCTTTATAACAGGAATGCTTCTAGTTTGATGGAGGATGGGGGCTCTAACCAGTCCTTCCTGTGTTACACAGGCTAGGAAGATAAAAACACAGTGTATTTATAGTAAGCAGCTGAGAGCTTCTATACCGGTTATAAGTTGGAAACTTGAGAATCTAGAGGGACTTCTGACATTGTGGGCAGCGAAAGCACCTGAGTTGCCCAAGGGAAAAAGCCGTCTCCCATGAAAGCAGCTCCCGGCCTATCTCAGCCAAGTTCTCTCAACTGGATCTGTTTGGGCTGGGGGCTGATGGACATACACAGTGGTCTCGTGATGATGGGCCAAGTGACACACAGAGCAGTTGTCATGATGACTCATGCTGCTTTTCAGAGTACCTTCTTCTGGGTGTTTTTAGGGGAACTTGGCGCAGAGAGGACTGGACAAAAGAACATTCCATGAACATTCTCTCACCCTAGTCGTATGAGCGAGAACTAGGGCAATTTCTCCTTAGCTGGCGAAGGCCCATATCTTCCAGTTAGCACAAGGGCACATCTACCCGCATGCCCGGATGTATGGAAGAGCTTGTCATGGGGCAAAGCTATTCCAAATTGCTCACTTCTGGAAAGGCTTCTCTCCGCGGGTTTGAACATGCAAGAAAGATAATTTGACCTATTTGTCACAATGCCTGGCAGGCCTGAACCCACTGCTTGCCCATAAATGTCCTGGGGCTGACGCTTCCATTTCAGGACCTGTCATGTTCTCGTGGAACAGGGAGCTGTGTGTGAACCAGAATGGACTGAGGTCTGGAATGTGCCAGTCTCTTTAACGGGGGGGGGGGGGGGGGGGGATTTTATGTTTCCCTTCTGTCCTTCCCCAGTGGCTTGTTTTAGGTTGGTGCAATCAATGCCTGTGCCCCACAACACTCTCCTCTGTGTTTGCCATGCCGTGTTTATGCCCCTGCAGCTTTGTAATTAATAATATACTGCTTTTCATCTTCAAAGTGATTTATACACATTAATTAATCCCCACTGTACTTCAGAGATTCTGTTCGTAAATAACTATCGTGCCCTCACACAGTACTTAGGAAGCCAGGGCTCAGAAGGCAAATGGTTCTCCACAGAGAAACGGATTGCTGAGGCCAGTGTCAGCACTCGAGTCCTGGTCCCTCACCGAGTCTGCAGGAGTCTGGTCATCTCTGGGGAGGGGCTAAGAGTACCTTGTAGCTCTGCCTCTACTGCTGGGCAAACCGGCCTGTTAACATCCCTCATTTTGAGTCATGAACTATTTCTCAATACTCCAGGGTCAAAGCATAATCTTACCTAAAGCATACAAAACAGGAAATGATGGATTATAAACCAATAAACCATAGTAAGATGCTCAGGACCAGCTTCCAGTAGCCTCCAGACTGAGGATAAATATGTTTCCTAATCCATCATTCACGAGTTACGCACCTGATTAAAACATTAAACTCTCACTACACGGTTGCCCGTTTATGTGATCACCCTTACAGAAAGCTATTATTTTTTAACCATTGAGCTCAATAAATCAGGCGCTAGCCATCTATCTCTCCCTTGCAAGGGGAGGAGGAGACACACTGGGGATACCATTGGCAGAGGCAGGCAGTGCCTCAATTTCTATACCTGGGCTCCCCGTGGTGCCCACTGGCCCTGCAGAACATTAAGCCTGAGAAGTGCACACATGGATCCTTTTTGAAGTTTCTGACATAAAGCCACATCATGCAAAGACCCTAAGGGCACATTCAATTTGCCTCCACCAAGCCCCTGCAACAGCTACCTGGGGACTCACATGAAATTCCTTCTAATAACACAAAGATGCCAGTTAGGTGATGGGCGGAGGTGGTTCAAGTCAATCAACTGCTGTATCCTTCATCAAGGGGTAAGAAGCAGGCATGACTTGAAAGTAGGCATGCTGAGTGTCAGACCCCAGGCACCACTGAGAGCTGAGGGTCAGAGTGAAAAATCTTTTGGAACACCCCAGACAAACATCACCCCTTTCCTCTCCCTGGGGTGTCAGTGTTCTCAGTTTTCAGAGGACGTTACTGATAAATGCGGCTGATAGGGAACATATAAATGTCTATTTTCTTTATTAAGACAAGCATAGTAATACTGTGGAATATACCGTTGTATGTTGTTTTTTCATGGTTTACACTAGTCTGCCTTGGGCAGGGACCCATATTTCTAGAGGCACGCCATTATACTTCTCTGCCATCAGGTAAGTTTAGGTCAAATGCCCTGGGAAGTACTGGTCTATCTCTTCTCTGGCAGGCACCATACTAGAGGGATAGGATTAAGACAGTAAAGGAGCCCCCACTGCTGAGCAAGAAAGGAGGGCTGAGGTTGGCAGAAGGAAGGCCAGCTTCGTCAGCACCAGCGCCAGCGCTGCCTTGTCTTCTTTTCCGAAAGAGGAGGAGCTTTTGCCTGCATGTTTGGAGCTGTTTGGGAGTCAGCCCCTTTTAGCTGGTGTTTTATAGGTTTGCTTTGCCACAGCTAACCCGGGGAGATCTGTCATAGCAGCCCAAAAAGCAAGCCAGAACCATCAAATATTTCACATAAACTTTAACAAACATCACCACAGCCTCTGCCTGGGCCAGGAGATCTGCCATTGGCAAGCTTAGCCGACAGAGCAGGAGCAATGGGGTACATGAACTGTGAACAGGCTTTGTGGCCAGCCCAGGACGCTCATCTGCATGTGGCGCCCTGCCTCTGAGCTCCCAGCATCTGCTGTTTTGCATAGTTCTGTGGTGGTACTTCCTAGATGCAAATGGACACCCATGGCACAAGGAAGAAGGTACCCTCATAACTTCACCTGCATGCTACCATTGTGCACACCCCAAGCTGGAGGGGCACATCTGCCACAGATGAAAACCCTATTCAGACCCAGTGCCACGCAGTGAGATGAGTCCTGAGGCCGAGCAGAGGGAAACAAAGGAAGCTGGGCAAGGTCCACTGCGCATGAGTGATCTGAGTCTAGAGGAAGATCAGGTCGTAGGCCCTGGCTTCTGGATCTCAGTTTAGTTCCATAGCTCTGAAAACCAGCAAGCTAGTTTGGCTTTCTCCCTGGTCAAAATGTTTTGTGCAAAATGACACCTATCCTTGCCTTGAGTTTCTAGCTGAAGGGAACCAGGGATGCATAAATATCAGAGCACTGGTTTGTACTCAAATCCAGTGATGGAGAAATTTAGGCGATTGCCATGGAAGCAAAGGGTGGATTTGCGGGAAAGATAATTCTCAGCTCCTCTCCAAGAAAAGACACAGCCAGAATGCTTAACTTCACCTCTGATAAATGTCAGCTAGAGTCATGACTGGAATGGATTCCAGGAGAGAAAAAATCACTCCTATCCATCACTCATGATTATGTTTTTCAAGAGCCAACAGGCAAATTGCACAGACAGCAGAAGGCTTCTAAAGTCACAAGCCCATGGCCTCTTCCCCCACCTTCTCACTACCAGGATGGTGAACAAGGTTGCTTTGACTTACCTATAAAATATGCCAGCAAAATGGCCAAGAGAAGGGCCGCAGCGATGGCCGACAGGGCAGCGCATTTCCAACTGCAGTACTTGGAGGGCTTCTTCAGCTTGAAGGCCTTCCTGGAGAATGTATTCCGCGGCAGCAGACGGGGTGGTGGCGTGTAAACAGTTCCTGAGGTCAAAGGGTATCCCGGAGAAGAGCTGCTGAACAGGGGCGTACTTCCGGAGGACGTCTTGAAGAGGAAGTGCCTGCAAGGACAAGTGAAAGGGTCAGCCCGGCCATGGCTGGCTAATGAAGGCTGAGCTCTCATTCCTTTTACTTCGTACAGTTCGAGTAAAACGTTAGTTAACTTGCCTTTCCTTGGGGTGTGTGTGCGCATGCGTGTGTGCGCAAAGGCTATTTTGGCTGGCCGTGTACCTCAATCCCACAAGCTTTCCTAATTTTGTACTTTCATAGATGCAGAAAGATGCATATAGGAGGATCCAGCAAAGCATGCCGAACAAATATGAGAAGTGAATTACTGTCACTCACTCAGAAATGATGACAATGATGTGGATGCTAAGTATGATCACATATTAGATCTGTGCAACTGAAGGCTCTTGAAATGTGTTGTCACCATCGTTTACAAACTAAACGTTATAATATCTTTAATTTAGATATCAGACACCGGATTGGGAGTAGTCAAGTAACTGACTGAGGCTTTAAAACCCAGAGCTCTGTCTTATGGCAAAATTATCTGCTGTTAAGTGTTGCCCGAGACTGCCTCTTTCCCCCTCACTTCTTGTCCATTTCCATCTCTCCTTCCACCAGCAGCAACCATTAGTCACTTTTCCTACTCAGGCTGCATCTTTAGGCCTTGTGATCATAGCTACTTTCAGAAACATCTTTGCCCATCAATTGAGCATGGTGTCCTTGGTACCCGGACCTATAATGTGATAACTCTATAACAAAACATAAAGTATGAAAAAAACATGTGACTTCTCAGAGGGTGGTCATTCCAAAGATATTTCACAGGGCATCAATTCTCTGACAAGAGATTATCCCCTTTCATAGATATGCCAAGGATGAGATTTTGAAGAATGACTGGCTACACGTTATTTGAAACAAGGACATGTCCAGAAGATGAAAGGTATGGATGGCTAGTCACGTTCTAGAGTTTAGCTGCTCAGGGCAGGGGCTGTAGCGCACTTTGGACGTAGTTCATCCTTGTGTGTTTAGTCCCCAGTAAAGATCCCAACATCCACAGAAGACTTTAGCAAATGATTGCATGCATGCCCACACAAGCTGGGGTCCTCCCATTATTTTGTAGTTGCATTTGCTGCAATAGTCAAGACAGGCAGTTTCTCTTTCCTCATATTTTCAGTAGATGCATTTTTATCTTTTGATACAGCATCTTTCTATGTACCCTGACTGTCCTTAACTCACTGTGTAAATCAGGGTAGCCTCAGACTCACAGAGATCCACCTGACTCTGCCTCCCAAAAGACAGGATTAAAGGTGTGTGTCACCCGTCACCCACGCCTAGTCATGTATGTATTTTACTTAATGGCTGTTTATATCTGTCATTAGGACATATATTTCCTTACACCTCACTTGAGCCCCATGGTGTGCACTATAAGACTGTCTCAGTTTTAAATACGAGAACCTTTAAGCTCGGAGTTAGTAGGAATATGACCTGCGGCTATGGTGGTGTGGATAAAAATGGTCCCCATAGACTCATATGTTTGAAGACTTGGTCCTCAATTAATGGAACTGTTTGGAAAAAACTAGGAGACGTGGCCTTGTTGGAGGTGTGTCAAGGGGCTTTGAGGTTTTCAGTGTTCTTTCTCTGCCTCCTACTTGCTGATCAAGATATGAGCTCTCAGCTGTCCCAGCCAACATGTCTGTAGCTTGCTGTAATATTGCTCCAACATGATGGACTCAACTCTCAGGAACCATAAGCTTAATGAAATGCTTTCTTTTATAAAGTGCCATGGTTATGGTGTTTTAGTAAAATAATAGAAATAAAACAGAGCTCAAGTTATAGTTTGCCTCTCTCAATTATTTGGCCAGAGTTTTAGAAAGAATGACTGTACCCTACTGTACCATACTGCCCTTCCTACTGAGGATTGCCAGGCTTTTCCAGAGGTGTCTAAAGGCAATATCACCATCATTATCAATATTTGTATCTTGACTACATACAGAGAAATATTTAAAATATTTGGATCCTTTATATATACCAAGTGAGTATGGTATGATTGAGAATCATGTCAGAAATGTGTCTGCTTAGCAAAACAAGTAACATAACCAACATAAAGCAAACAACTGATATTTAGACCTTATTTGTGCTATAAATATATTCAATTATCTCAATAAAGCATGCACATTTAATTCCATAAATATGGCTTCAGATTTCTTCCCAGTAGCTCTTTTTAGAACATTATATATACACACACAAGCACACATACACACTGGCTCTTTTTGAAACATTATACATACACAGAGGGAAAGGAAGAGAGAGAGAAAGAGAGAGAGAGAGAGAGAGAGAGAGAGAGAGAGAGAGAGCGAGCATGCCATGGCATACGTGTAAAGGGCAGAGAACATGTGGGAGTTGGTTCTTTAATTCTGCTGTGCAGGTTCTGGGGACCAAGTTCAGACTATTAGGTTTGGTAGCAAGTACTTTTAGCCACTAATCCAGTGGTTCTCCACCTTCACAATGCTGTGACCCTTTAATACAGTTTCTCATATTGTGGTGACCTCCTACTGTAAAATTATTTAATTGCTACTTCATAACTATCATTTTGTTCCTATTATGAATTGTAGTATAAATGTCTAATATGCAAGATCTCTGATGTGTGACTCCTAAAGGGGTCATGACACATAGGTTGAGAACCATTGTGCTAATTCATCACCCTGGCCCTAATAGATCTTTTCTAATGGGATCAACGAAGTCTTCTGAAGAGACGACCCTAGCTATGGTGTTTAAGTGAGCAAGAAAGTCCTGAATTGGTTTCTAGCAGGGCTCTTCATGGACAAGTTAGCTCACACTGGTCTCCCAGCCCTATTCTTGAGCATCACTATCATGGGGAAGTACAATCGCAGGTGCTGTATCCATGGTTGCTATACCAACCACCCAGGACCATTTAAGAAAAGCACTTAGTCTAAAGAGTTTCATGGTAGGTGTTCACTTCTTAATGACTAGCTTTGACTAAGGAATTTTTGGAGCAACAGAAAGAGCTCAAAAATAATTTAAAGCGTGACAATCGTGGAACACACATTACAAGAACTTCCCGACTGGATCAGTACTAACCCATGAAACACCCAGCACAAAGCAAACTAGAGTAGAAACCCTGACCCTTGATTTAGTGTCCCACTAACTTTTTCTCTTGGATCATTCTCCACAAATAAGGAGACATTAATGAGTATTCAAAAAAATACATTAGTTCAAACTCTCATGCCCCCAGTATCCTGTCCAATCTCATGGCTTCAGCCATCACCGATAGGTCTGCATATGTAACCCAACTTGTTCCTCAGGTTTGGACCCATGTCCCTACTGTGTATCAGGTATCTTGTCTTCCACATTGTATGCCACAACCAAATTTAGATTGTTTTCCTTCACCCTTCCTGTCCTCCCCTGTGTCTGTCTTAGCGCTGTAGTCATTTTAACCTCTTTCTCTTCTCTCACCTCAGATCCTAAAGAATCTCATCTATGCGTTTCTGAAAATCTTTCCCACTAATTTCACCTATCTTTTTCCCCTTCTAGCCACAAAGGTCACAGACCCCTGGCTTGCCTGACCTTCTAACAGAGGACAAAAGACATCTATAATTATAAGCTGGGTTTTTACTTCCATGACTGTGTGCTCCCAACCCTCTTACCTTGGACATTTCAGCCCACAATAGAAACTGCATCATAATAACACTGTGTGTGTGTGTGTGTGCGTGTGTGTGTGTGTGTAAAATCTTATATGTATGAGTGTTTTACCTGTATGTCTATACACTACTTGCATGCCTGGTGTTGTCAGAGGCCAGAGAGGATATCAGATCTCTTGGAACTGGTTATGAGCTGAGAATCAAACCTGAGTCCTCTGGTAGAACAGTCATTGAGATATTTCTCCATCCCTGTAACAGTACTGTTCATGTTGCTGTATCTTTGGGGCTGGGATGAAAGGCATCATGTGTGTGTGTGTGTGTGTGTGTGTGTGTGTGTGTGTGTGTGTGTCTAAGGAAGGGAGAACCTATACCTTACTCCTTTAAGACATTCTCTCGCTGAACATAGAGCTGTGCTGGTAGCCACCAAGCCCCGGTGATCTTTCCACCTCTTCACTCTACAGTCCTGGAATTACAGGTACAAACCTGGCCACACTGGGCTTCTTACGTAGATGCTGGGGAATCTGAACTCAGGTCCCCAGGTTTGCACAGCAAGTGCTCTTACCCACGGAGTCATCTTCCCAGGCTGTAACCCTTTTTGAATTGGCTCACAGAGGAGATTTCTTTATGAACTTATAATATTTCTTTATTAAATCCCCCTTGACAACACAGTCTGTTTCCCACACTTCCTTCTAGCTAGTTTCATGGTCTTCTCCTGCAACCCCTTAATAAACCTTCCAATACTACTTGGAATGACATAGGGTCTTTCCCTGGGTCTACAGCACCCTGCATGGCCTGACTGTAGCACCTCTCCAACCAATCCCATTGCTCTCCCCTCCTCTACTGTTTGTGTGTCAGATTGTCCTTTTACTGCTCTTTATCATGCTTCGACTTCCACCTCAGGGTTTTTGTACCGTGCATCCCCGCTGCTCGGAAATATGCGGCTAGTCCTCCATCCGTGTTGTTTGGCTTCCTGCTTTAGTGCCATTTTCTCAGAGATCTTCCCCAAGCCTCCCTCATTCTCTATGATTCTCTCACCATGATAGGCACCCCTGTTTCCTTTATCATATGCACATACGCATATACGCATGTACATTATTTACTGTCTGCATCCATCAGCTGTAAAATGATGAGGTGTTTATCAGATTTATTTAGTTCGATGACTTATCATCTAGAGTACAGTTTGCCACAGTGATCATGCATTTTTGTTCAATGACTGACCTACTATGCTTCCCGAGATTGAAATTATGAATGCTACAAGCACAGTATTATGAACATTTTAGATTTTTAATTAAGGCCCCTTCTGCAGTCTTGATGACTGATTGTAGAAGGGACTTTCATGTTTGTCTTTGTGCAATAGTGAGCATGTGCATTTCTGCACACACAATCCAATACCCCACCAA